TTATGGAATATTTTTTTAATTATAATTGTTGTAATTCTTTCGAGTATTGAATTAATTAAATTCGATGTTATATGTGGTAGAATTTAAATATAATATACATATACTACACAATCAGTATTATTGTGATAACCGGAAGTTTCCCGGTTTCAGTCCTTTATTTCCTTTTCCCCAAAGTGTCGTTATTTTTGCATAGATATCATTATTTGTAAATTACAATCTTTCTTTTCTATGTGTTCCACTTACAAAATACTTTTACCAAATTCTCAGATTTTATTTTGTCATTATAATAATAACTGGTTCAGTATTCTGATTAATTTTATATGGACATTCATTTTTTGAATTGTTTTGTCTAGATTAAAATAATGAATAATTTCAATGTATTTTTTAAATCACACACAAGTGATGTTATTGACACGTTATACTTGAATCATAGCAAGTGATTCAAATTGGAAACGTTGAAAAGCGTGGCAATATTTGAAAAGTATCATGATAGAAAATGGTACTTAACAAATTACACGTTTTACGAATTAAATAATTTCAATGTTTTGCAACTGAATGTCCTTACACATTTAAGACAAATTTTATATCTATTTTATACAGTAATATGTTTGTATGTAAGTACATAATTTCTAATTTACTAGATGCTATATATTCATGAAGAATCTACTTACGGACGCATGCGCATTACAAATCAGTTACTAAAAATACACTTTTGTTTCTGCAAATGTGTTTTGTGCACTCATGTCTACTGAAAATTGGCACTTGAAAAATGTCAGGTTATCGCCTCATTTTATATTTATGAATCAAAAAGTACAAATAATACAATTTACTGATAAACTTCTTTCGCACATGTAAATTATTTATTATATAGAGAAATTAAGATTTTAATGTTGATAATTGAATAGATACATCTATTAATGAAAGCACTTTATAGTACTGTCCATTTGTAGATTATGAACATTTCGTTTATATTACTCATCATCTCTGTGTCATTCAAAATTCAGAGAAGTTTATTATTGACAAAACATCTGACTTATGTCACAAAGCAGGCTTCTATAGATAGATAAAACACACGTATTCGGCGGTGTTTGCTTCGGTCAATGTACCAATCAAACATCGTAGCTGTATTTGGTACCTACATCTTTCGCGCCTTGCGCATTCACTAGGTCAGAAAGTAAGCCATGTGTATGTAGAACTGTATGTAGTTTTGTGTGTGTGAACAATTTGAAGGGGTTTTAACGTGTTTGAAAAACACTAATTCATTTTAATAAACACAGTTAAGTGTTTTATACATTATTTATAAAAATCTTGGATAATTACGTTTTAGAAGAATTTATATAAAAAGTCTTTTTACTTTATTTTTTTTATTAGTTACCAATGTTTATAAATATATATCTATTATTCATCTTTTTACATTTATAAATACTACTTACTGTTTCAAAACAAACAATAAAATGAAGAATGTGAACGAAAGTTTTAATATTTAATATGCTAAAAATGTTAGGTAGCAAAACTATGGCACATACAAAGATAACTAAAGTAAGAGAAGATGATTTTCTTGAATGCTTCCTATATCCAAAAATTTGTTATACACAACCTCCAGAGACAATAACAGAAGAAATACTTTCACAAGAAATTGAAAAATATAATGAAGAAATTGCACCATTTATTGAAGGCTATATCTGGCATAGTGACAGTTTAATATTGCGTCCTAGAACAAAGCAAGCATTATTATTAGAAAAGCTGGTAGATAACTCGTCAACTGTTGAAGGTAATAGATTGTATTAAGTTTAAGCATTTCTTGGATCTATCAACTATTTTAATGTAATATTTTTACATTTATCTTTTTAGAGTGTGATATATTACCCCATATTTACATATCATTGCACTTTGACGAAGATATAAGCGATGAATGGTTTATCGTATTTCTTATATATAAACTTACACAGAAGTTTGATGGACTAATTGCTAAAGTAATAGATTCTGATGGAGAATTTTTATTAATCGAGACTGCAAATGTTTTACCTTCATGGGCTAATCCAGAAACGTGTGAAAATCGTGTATATATTTATAATGGAGAGTTACATATAGTTCGTGAAAAATATAAGACGTTTCTTGACTTATTAACTAATGTACAACAAAATTCATATCTATCTAAAGCATCTGAAAAAATACAAAATGCTTTACAAAAACGAATTAATAGTTACCCAAATGAAATTGAAAAAAGACATCACAAAACTAGAGTTTTTCTGCCAGAAAAGGCAGTCTCAATGCTTCATCAAGAACCAAGGCTTGTTGCACCAGCTATTAGAACTATTTGCCATTCTGATCCACTTGAAAGAAAAGTAATAACTTTTTTAACTGGTATATTTAGACCAATATAAATTGACCTTAATGTTCTAATATGTTGTGTGTATTCTAGGTCTGTCGTGCTATGAGATATTTTCCTCCTGAACAGCGAATTATGGTTAATGCAAAAATGACTAAATGTCTATATGCAATGGCAATGCATTGTCGATACACAGGAGATCCACGAACAGGCTGGAATATACCTCCAACAAACTGTTCAAAGTACAATGCACATATCCTTGGTGTGAAGATAGCGTGTGGTTTAGAAATGCTAGTTGCTCATGCACATGAACAACGTAGACATAGAGTAAAAGAAACTGTCAATGATTCTGATAAATCAAAAATCAATGAATATGCTCTAAATGCATATTTAGCACGTTTAGAAGCTAGTGGCTACTTTAGAGATCTATTAAAAGGCAGTCAAGAGTATGAGAAGCTTCTAAACACAGCAAAAGATTATTATTTACAACATTTACATGCATTTAATTCTGTTACAAATAATGTTAAAAGTGACGCAGAGAAAGTTTTAGAAGCATGGGAAAGCATACAGTCTAATGATATTGATCTGCATGGTAATTCCTTTATGATTAATATTAATACAGTCTTCATAATAGCATACAATTATTGTTATACTATATATTTCATATGTAGTACAAGATGAAGCTGCATTAAGTCCTGCGGATAGCGACAGTTGGTTAAACGTAGATCCAGCACAATTAGAAACATTTTTAAATGAACAATGGGGAAATGTTAAAAACAAAAATCAGAAGCAAGAACCACTAAGTCTTCGGGAGAAAGTACAATCATTTTTCAATCACACCAGTGATATTGATGGTGTACAATTTTTAGAGTACGTTATTATTTAAATTTAATTACTTAATTCTTTTTACAAATCGTAATTTGTATATTTTTTTAGAGATCGTTCTATGGAAGCTGATATAATGCATGATCCAGAAGATAATGGAAAAATTGAATTTGATGCAGACATATTTGATTCTACACTGCAAGGTATATTAGATTTAGTTGTTCCAGGAAGTGAAGGAGAGTTTGAAGGAAGTTCGGAAGGATCCCTAGGTGAAGATGATGAAGATAAAGGTGGGGAAATGGATAAGTATATGCGCCTGTTAAATTCAGAATTAAAATCTGAAATGGTTAAAGATGAAAGATTTGAGACAAGTACAAGATCTGATAGAATAGAAGAAAACTTAATGAAAAGTATTAAAGAAGAAGCAGGTGGTTCAGGACCAACTGGAAACATTATTGGCGGTCCTGTTCGTCGGTTTATGCATTTACAGTTGCAATCACCTACGACTGTACCCCCTGATTTACAAAGTTAATGATATCGATTATAAAGTATATTAATAAGTGTTAACACGTCTAAAGTTTCTTTGTTGACCAGTTCAAGATAAATTAAAGCTATCCGTCAGTTGAGAAAAAATATCTATTAATAAATTCTATAAACAAAATGACTCACATATTTACATGTAGATACAACATTACTAAATAAGAGTAATTATTATAAAATTATACCACAAAATTATAGTTCCAGAATTATTCTTAAAGTCAACAAATTATACTTCTTTCATTATATATCACACTTTGTATTTTTAGAAATTAACACAACTAACATTCTTTTATACACGCAGTTTAATTTTATGTTAATGTTTAGCTTGTAAAAGTATATTGAATTACATAATTGAATAATAGTAATATAAAAATGCATACATTTATTCATGTATAATTATGTACATACAAATTAATAAAGAATCCTTATATGATAAAATTATCTCACTTTTTTAACAATGAATTAAACAATTTTGATGCTTTTATTTTATCGTCACTTACTGACATAGTGGTATTTGCTGTACGATTAGATTTGCTATTCGTATTAGTTGAAGTAATGTCTTTTCTAACTGCTTCATTTTTCGGATTCAACATCGACTTTCTGGAAAAGAAGATTGGATGTATAAGAAAGAACAATGAATAAAAACTATTTTGTAATATATAGATTATTGATCACTTACCTGAATTTGGCAACTTGGATTTCAATTTCTTTAGGATCTACAATTTTTTCTTTAATATCTGCGTTTAAGTGTGATGATCCTGAATAATAAACTATAGCAGAAGGAACCAAATACTCA